TGAAACAACACGGAGTATTAGAACATACTTCTTTACTATACCAATAATCTTGTGTAATTAAATTACAAATAAAGTTCCATAAGAAATTTTTTTAGCAATTCCAAATTAATACATAATTATTTAACGACTAAAATTTAAAGTATTTGAGCGCTTTCTTTGTACGCATGTGCTGCTCTCTTCCCCCCTTACATGGATGCTCTTCTCACTTGTGCAAATTTAAATGAGGAAGAATTAAAGCCACTTCCATCAGATGTAGTTGAAAAACTAGTTATAACCTTCGATTCAATATCTCATGAAGCTAAAGAGCTTTCAGAGTCTTTTGATCGAATTAAATCAGAAAAAGGTAGCACTTGCTTCATAGCGTATTTTCAGAAAATATAACAAATGAGTTAAAACAGAAGTGTGAAGAGTCAGATGCCAAATTACATGCTTTGTCCGAGAAATATTCTACTTTAGAAGGTAAATTGGATCATCTGGAAAAAAAATACCAAGCCGAATATGAAGATAAGGAAGATTTCCGTAAACGCTTGGATAACACTTTGTCCATTAACAACGAATTGAGTATCACTATCCGCAATCTTGAAAATGACAGCAAGATACTTAATGACCAGCTCAAAAGGAATCTCGCAGAGTTGGAAGAGTCCTATGAAGAGGTTAAAAATGCAAAACTGGAAGTAGATGAGGCAAAAAAAACGAAGCTAGAAACGCTGATTAAAACAGAAGATATAATCAGCAGAGAAGCATCCTTAAAAGTAATTGCATTAATGCTTTATCGTACCAGGCCCAAGAAACTCGGCTGAAGGAGGAATTAGAAAGCCTACAGCGCCATAACTCCTGGTTAGATGAGCGATTCAAGACAACTACTGATCAGTTATTGACAATTAGAAGGGAACTGGTTCGTTCTAGTTTAATGTTGTGATTTTGTAGGGTCAAAAATGTATTTCTCTTCAAGCGGATTTGGATAACTGCAAGACTGAGGTATTTTTATTCTCAAATTTTCTAATTGTCTCTAGCTCGAGCTGGCTCTTTCTTCAAAGGCAAGTCTAAAGACCAGTATGAAACAAATGACTCAGGCGAATGAGGAATATATTCAAAAACTAAAGATCGTTAGTGTTTCTTACTTAACTATTTCTTTAGATTGCAGATCAACAAACAAAGGTTGAGCAACTCTGTAGCAACGAGGTCGACGCTCAGAAGCGATTGACATTACTTTATAAAGTTTGTTTTACTTTTTGATTCTTTACTTCTACAGGAACAAGCAAAGGAAGCAGAGGAAAAAAATTTAGAATTACAGAATACAGTCACATCTATGCAAAGCATGCTCAAAGCCGCTTTTGAAAGTATTTTGATCCTAAATATTATTTTGCCCTTTAAAATAGATATTTCTAAGCTAGAGGAAGAGAAGAAATCCCTGGAATTGGCTAGTGAAAACGACAGAGCCAATTTAGACCATCGAATTCAAACTCTCGAATCTGATTTGGAGCGATCTCAAGCATTACTTGAAAAATTCCGAGTCCAAGGTTGGTTTTACGACAAATTTGTCCTTTTCCTGGAAGTC